ACTACTCTACCCCATTCAAGAAATTGTAGCAAAGAAATAAAGAAATAAACAGGTACACGTTAAAATATGGTGGAACTGCAATAACTGGATAAGAAGAATGAAGAAGTGGTTGTGTTAATGGTATTAATAATGCCAACAATAATGATAATGAAATATTAAAAACTATAGCCATGTCATAAATAATAACTTAGCAATAACTTAACAATATATTAAAACAACTATAAGAATAACACTAGCAGTAGTATGAAAATTAGAAGTAGTAGTAATAGTAATATAATGATAATAATAACAATGATAATGATAATTTTGATGTCTAGTACATTCATTTCTTGTAACCATTAACCAAAGTGATCTAACACGAAAGCAATACAAATTGATTCTTGGGTCTTTCTCTTTGGTTTTCACTCTTCCACCCCTTTACCATCTGGTCCAGCCCTAAATGTGAACCTAGTTCTCATTAAAGTGCAATTGTTAGTCATCATTTTTTTTAAGTAATAATAAAGCAACTTTTCTCTATCAGTCCTCTCTAACTAAAAGGCTACAAAGAATATAATTTTTACACAGTAATTGGCTTCATTATCACCAGTATGCTAGCATTTTACCACTATCGTTCTTATTACTCTGTGAAAGATTTCAGGAAGTTTATATTCCCCTTTCCATTGAAAGTGATATCAATATAAATGTCAAATGAACTTCATAACGTTGATAAAAGAGGCCACTATACCATAGTGCTATATGACCTTGAAGTGTAACACATTTACATTTATTTCTTGTAACCATTATCCAAAGCCCAAACTAAATAAATGTAAGAAAAAAATAGAAAAGATGGCATCCTGCCACATGCAGGGCCGGGCGACTGGAAGCGTCGGAATGAATCGATTATCAACCCCCCAGATTGATATGAATCAAGGCTAGCATGAAGGATGATGCTACGGGAGAGGACAACCACAGCCCGAGGAGGAGAAGCCCAGGGCTCGACCGTGCGCCAAGGCAGCGGGAGCCCCTCATGTGGAAGCGAATGTGACACTAACGAGCAGATCAGAGGAAAGGTGACCGATCAATGTTCGTGTGTCTACGAGACACCGCTTCCACTAGATCTTCCTCCGACCCGCTATATATACGGATCGCCCCACTGAGGACTCCTCGGTTTTCGCACTCTTTTTCGCGCCCCTTTTCTCAGCCCCCTCGCCTCTTCTCTTGCTTATGGCGCTTTACAATAACTGTTTCTACTCTCCGAACTACGTTTTATCCACATTCAGTCACTTTTACGGCCTTTTGCCCTAGAATTACCATACCAAATACAAGCCCAAATGGACGCCGCACGCCTGACAATTCGCTCGTGCCCGCTCATTTTCTTCCCGTTTTCTTCCCCTTCAATCCCGTACCGTGCCAAAAGAACTTTTAGTCATAATACATTCAATTTCACGCTTGCAACAACCCTTAACGAGGAAATGCTACCTTCTCATCACACGCGACATTATTTCATTCAGTTCATACATGCTCATCTTTTAGGCCTATAATCGCGCAACAAACTAGTCCCATGAGTCTGCGTTTGCTTACCTTCCTTTTTCCTTTTGTCACACATCTGTCATGTAACATTAAACGAAATACACATAACAATGCGTTCATAATATACTCATATATATTTTTCCTAGTCGAATAAATCCCAGTTGTCCCCCAAAACCGAAAACGAAATTTACAAAGGACGTGGAAATGTCTGATGGGTGACTATGTTAAAGTGAAATTAATTACCACGTTTGATAAAAATAAAGTGGTGGAGGAGGATTCCTTAATAAAATGAGCGGAACGAAAAAAAGTTAGAGGTAACTAGCTGCCTAGAAATTGAAAAAATAATATTAATAAAGTAATTAAGAAGGGGGCGAAACCCCTTGCGTGGTGAGTTTTTGTTCGACGTGCTGAATGGTGGTGGTTGGAAGGCTTGCCATGTTGTTTTTGCTTTTGTAGAGTCAGGTCAGCTATCAGGAGACACCTTTTTCGGCCAAGTATTAAATATATTCTCAGGAGACACTTTTTTCTGCCAAGTATTAAATATATTCTCACTGTCCTGCTATCATGATACAGGTGGGACCGTCGCCTGCCTCCCTTCCAGCGCCTAGGAGCTGAGGGCGAACTTCAGTGAGTCACTCTTTTGTTTGTTTGAGCGAAAAGGATTAGGTGCAAGAACAAAAAACAAACAAACAAACATAAAAACAAAGGAACGAAAAATAAATTATCACGAAATAAGGCATTCGAAAATAGACGAAATATATTTGCTGATGAAAACACTGAGGACTTAATTTTTTGGCGTTTTCTTTCATTGGGATTTTTGCATTGTTACTGGAAAATTTTCTTGAGCTTTTTACTTAGCAAAAATTAATTTGCTAATTGTCAATAAGCCTGCTTCGGTTTAAGGGCTCTTTATATTTGTGTGCGACAGAATTAGCATGCAAATATAATATTTTATTTAGACTGCAAGGGGTAAGAATTGGCCCATCTTTTG